CTTGGTTTTAGTCAGTTAACCTCTGAAGAAGCCAACAGGATGATTGGCGAAACCTGAGCAAGTTGGATTTATAAATAATCGAGGCAGGATGAATTCAGAAGATTTGTAAATAGTATGTTAGGAAATGACCTAGAACGTTACCTATACTACCTGTACTATAATAACTTAAAAATCACACAAGCATCACAAAATATCAGATTTCTTATATAGATATAAGTTACAGATGTAGAAGTGGTCTTACACATAAGACCAAAAATGCAAGTGTAACCGTGTCTTTTTCCGATCGCATATAGTACCTATATGGGGAATGTGTTACGAAACCCACTTTAATTGAATTGCAAGTCTTTCGAAATAAAATACTGAAAATGCTGTTTAATTATGATGTACAATTGAAGTTAATAAAGTTATCTTATATTTTAAAATTAGAACAGTAACATTACTTTATAAAATGATAAATAATCTACAGGAATTCAACTTTTGTCTAGCTTTCCGATATGAAATTCATGAATACGAGACAAGATCGCAAGATAATTAAGTTTTAACATCAAGCAGAATTAATTTAAATCAATTACCACTATATTTGAGAAACTTTCTAACCTATAAACCATTAAAAAAAAAAGAGTTATTTACAAAACTTCTGGATTCTTTCTGCGTCGGTTGTTGTTAACGTTTCGCCAATCATCCTGTTGGCTTCTTCAGAGCTTAACTGAAACTGGCTCGCATTTTACTCTGTATTGCTTTTGAATGGAATTATCCAAGGGTGATCATTAACATACAATGCAACAAGATTATTACATAAAGTTTCAGAATTTAAATACAGGTAATATTGTGGTCTGTAATAGAAAGTAATTTTATACCTACCTGTGTTTATTATTCTTTGGTTTGGTATACTACTTAGTTTAAGTTTATTAGTAATCATTCTTATTTCGTGTGTAAAACAGCGTGTGTTGAATCGTGTGCGAATTATGCAAAATATCAAAATATGTGCAAGTCTAGTGTATCTCAGGAGATGCTCCCGGTCAAATGTAGAAAACACTATTCTATTGAGACTAAGGAAGTTATAAACATTGTTTATTTAACTCTCATTGAACGTGGTGCCAGCAAGCAAGTATCTTTAGAAGAAACGGCCACATCAACGAAAATTCCATCAACATCAACTTTATGGAAAATTGTGAATAATTCCATTTCAGCGAGCAAAAAAAGAAGCGATGCTGGCATTTTATCGAGTGTAGATGAAAGTGATCAAGATATAATAGTAAAATTTACCAGTTATACGAGGAATAAAGCGTGCCCACATTAGATATCTTAATTAGGAGGCTTGAAAAAGATGAAACCGGTGTTAAATGTCGCAGAACTACCTTATGGAAGTGTTTTAGATTTAAAAAAATGACAAAAGGCAAGTTTTAATGAAATCTTTTAGAATTCGGAAATGGCGACTGGAATATCTAGAAAAAATTAGGATTTACAGAGAACAACAAAGGCCAATTATTTACTTGGATGAAACCTGATTCGACACTTATGATACCCCGGAAAAGGGTTGGGTTGACTCAACTGATAAGTGTAAAACAAACGCGCCATCAAAAAGAGGTAAAAGGATAACTATTTTGCATGTTGGCTCTAAAGATGGTTGGATTCCAAATGGATTTTCTCTGTCTGCGAAAAATATTAAAGATTCTTCTCTGGATTAAGATTCTTCTCTGGATTACCATGAAGACACCACCGCTGATTTATTTGAAAGTTGGTTTAAAACAAACTGGGTCCAAACATTCTTCCTAATAGCGTAATTGTAATGGACAATGCAAATTATCACAGTAGAGAGTTGACTAAAACCCCTTCCTCATGTGACACAAAAGCAACAATCCAAAACTACATGTATAATAACGACATTTATTTTCACGATGATTATACCAAAAAGCAATTAATTGAGATTCTTCAAAACTTGAACCTACAAAAGGAATACGTCTGTGACAATTATGCAAAAAATCTAGGGCATACAGTTTTAAAACTTCCACCTTACCACTATATATTTAAGCCCATTGAACATGTTTGGCATCGACTGAAATCTGCCATTCGTCGTAACAATGTTTTTCCCGGTGTTAACTCCATTGTCCTCAAACTTATAGAAACCGAAATTTTTAACATCCCTCCACAAAGTTGGGCAAATTCTGTTAAACATATAGAAAAAGCAGAACAATCGCATATCCATATTACAAATAATATAGAACAAATAATAATTAGAACAGGCGATAGTAGCGATAGTGATACTGATTACCATTAGGCGACACGCCCACAACGTTCGCCTACCGGCGGTTAACTTTCGTTGTTCTGTTGAAACCGCCATTTTTTCGGTTTTAAGGCGACGGTAGGGAAGTGCCTGCAAAGTTCACGATTTACCTTGACATTATATTATGCTACACTTATCATTTGTCCTTATACTCTTAGTAAATATAAATTACTTTTTTTTCTTACTTTTTCTTAACCGGTTAAGTTGTCCAGACCATTGCAAAGAATCAGAACAGGGTGTAGTGTATTTTTTAAATTGTGTTAAATACGTTAAACGTCGCATATTAAAATGGGTTAAATATTTATTTAAACGAAGTAAATACCGCGTGATAAACTTCGTTAAATTACTTATCAAAAATTTATGTACAAATACGTGCTGATATGGGTGTTGTAATAAATTCTTCTTTCCATGATGTCTTCTAATGAAGGTCGGCGACCACATCTTTAAATTCTCTGTCAATTGCAATTTTCTACATTCATATTCGTCCAGTCTCGAACATGACTTCCTTTTTCTACCGACCCCTTCACTACCGTTAATTCTTCCTTGTATGATGTAGTAATTTGTATTTTTCATTTCGAATTAAATGCCCAGGTAAGATGTTTTTCAAACTTTAACTTCTTAATAACTTCTTAGTTGGTGATTTTTGCTTATTGTAATTTTTTTATATTTGTTTTTATTGTGCGATACGTCGCATCGTGCTGAGAACTAAATGGAGGGGATATTTTTATTAGGATTCCCTGAATCGCTAGGTATCGTATTCGGGTATTCCTTGAAGTGGATTATAGGTAAATTGAATATCACAAACATGTTGATAGATAGCACTCTACAGTTGCAAGATATTATTTAAAACATTTTGATCGACTGTAATCAAACTAGGGGTCAATTGGCCAGCCTCAACTCTATGTCAAAGGATCCTAAGTCGGTAGATCCACGTTTTCAATGCTTCGATACTTTTTATCTGAGTGTTAAATGTCCTAGCCTCTACCGCTTAACACACTAGAGGTAGCAATCTGATTATTTTATTATATTGTCGATATCGATATTTTTGAAGTAGAACTGACTGAATGGCTTATGAAGCTAATTAAGCGATAGTCATCACAAGATCCAGGTTCGTTATTCTTTGGGATAGGTACAAACACCGATTTGAGCCATTCTTTTGGGACTTTTGCATCTCTCTACGTTTGGTTAAACAGTTTTGTTAGACAAGTCAAATTTTCATCGTTTCAATCGTTCAATTTCCACAAGTTCTACTGGAACTTTATCGTGGCCAGTAGCTTTTCGTTCTTATATGGATTTTATGTCTTTTAAGATTTCCAAATTGTCGATGCTGGCTTCTGAATCATTCCTATCTTCTCTTTTGTCAGTAAACAATGTTTTTATGTATTGTGTCCAAGTTATCTTTTTTTTCTTTGTTCTATTATCTGTAATACACTCTGAGCGTTTTTTGCTGCTAATGATATCTTCCTGTTTAAGTTGCTAGTTATTTCCAAGTTGCTTATATTTTGTTGGTTGGTTGGTTTCTCCCGAACCGCTTCCGTCAGTTTTTTTATGATCTGCGCCGCGTTTTTCCAAACCTACTAACGAGATTAGGGAACGATTATGAATCACTACGGGTGCCACGACGACGAAGAAAGAATTTATTTTGCGTCCTTTGAATCGGGATCGAATTTTAAATTAAATTAAAACCGTATCCTATAAAGATTGTTCTGGTTTTAAAAAATATGTATCTTCCGACGGACGGTAAAATGAAAATTAATGAAGCGAAAAAAAAAAGCCGCGCGCTCCCATCTCCCGCTCTCCCCTTAAACCAACAATGCTATTAAAATCGATAACTTTAATTAACTAATGTAAATAGGACGGGAACTAGGGAGGGAATAATTGAGTTGCGGCCGGCATAAATAGGTGGTTTCGGGATGCTGCTGCAGCGGAGGCCTAATGGCACTCGAGTTGGGAAAATTGCATGGCGACGCCGAATCGAATTATTTATTTTGGACCTCAACACGCAGCTTTATTATTTAACGTTTTAAATTTGGTTAAATACATTTTAAATTAGGTTAAATGACTATCGCTGCTTTCTATTGTTCAAACACTAATGACCGAACCATTAAAGGGTGCGGTTCGGTTTTTAAAGTAACTTGACTGTTGACGTTAAACCGTCAAAATTTCATTTGTAGATTGTAATGCGTTAAATGTGTCTTTGAACGTCGTATTTGCATCTTAAAGTGCGTTAAACACGTCTTTAGACTACGTTATAGAATAATTGAGTTTTTATATCGTTTGCATGTTAAAATGCGTTAAATACGTCTTTAGAATACGTTAAATAGCCGTTTAAAAAAGTCACGTGTACTTTAAAATGGATTAAATCCCTGTTATAAAATCATTCGCACGCTATATAAGTGGACGTCTTTAGTCGACTTTAAATATTCGTTATAAAATCATTTGTACATTATAAAATATTGTTTTAAGTTAAATGCGTTAAATATATTTTTGGACTACGTTATCATTGACTTAAAAATCATGTGTACTTTAAAATGCGTCAAATACGTGTTATAAAATCATTCGCACTTAGAAATGCGTTAAATACATATTTTCGCTGCTTTAAATATCGGTTATTAAATCATTTGCATGTTTAATTGCTTGTGACGAAGTTTCTTCGTATCGGCGATTGCTTAAACGCCGTCAAATATGCGTTGAACGGCGTTAAATACTGGCGCGCCGTGTATGCCATTGGCCTTTCTACTGCCGTAAACGTTTTCAATAAAATAATAACACTTACGTAAAACATTGTTCAAACACACACACATACTCGAACGCGATAAGGTGTTTCGATGTAATTTAATAGTGTCACGAGGATACAAATCGGCCGGGCCTGGCGATAACCATTCATCGGTAAACGTCAACAAGTGCGTCCGAAGATGTAACGCAGAAGTAACCAGCCAGTATAAAAGCTTTCCACCGTCCAATACGACATGCCGTTGGCCGGTTCCTTTCAGTATTTGAGTTTGCGTCCCGACCATGTTTATGTAAGTACATTGCGTCCCGTTTGAAGTAAATTTTCCAAAGAAAATTAAGACCCTTGGACTGCATTAGCATAGCGGAACGCCCGGAATACGATTTTCAGAACTCTCGCAATCCGGAGCGCAATATCCGGAGTTCATTTCCGGACGGCGATCGTCATTTCTCGACCACGTTTAGTTTACTGTTAGTCGAAATTTGTTTTAATATCGACGAACTACATAATGTGTGCTGTCAAAATTGCAATACCCAGTAGGCGCCTTGTCTGTCGATTGTCTGCGTACTAAACTAACATTTTTGTCCAAATCCGTTTACAAATTGACAGACTTTTTCAAATCCCACTAAAAAGCAAAGATTTTTTATCAGAATTTCAATTATAAACAAGTTAGAATCCTTCGCATTATGGCGTTATCGCCGAATGTTTAAGATATCCTGGCTTATACCTCCAATGAATTCCAGCATGACTCTCATTAACCCCATTAAAGCGAGAAGTGCACCGGACATAATAGCAGAGGACCTAAATACCATCTACTACGCCAGAACAAAGTACAAAGCACTCTTACGATTGGACGTAAAACGCTGTGAGAGATTTCAAAACATTATCGCCATGATGATGACTCCGCAACAAGAAAAAGCTATAAACAGTAATAAGCCGTAAGAAGTGCCGCGTGTCGTCAATTAAGTGAATTTAAACAAGGTGGTTTTAAGAGGTCTACGAGAGGCTGGGATGTCTTTTGGACAAATTTTAAACAAGATTGAGTGGTTTGCGCATCGTCATCGTAGTCACTGGGGATTCAACAAGAACCACGAAAAAAATGAAGATCGTTTCCTAAGACTTACGGTTGGTTGGTATTGTAAATGAATGAACATAGACGGCTTTGTCTAGCATGGTGCATAGAACGAGTTTACTGACCGTCATATTGTACTTATGGCGCCCCTTAATAACGTGGTCGAGTTGCCTTTATCTTCAGCAGCTGCAAAGTGCAATTTTTTTAGCAAGACAGTGCGAGCTAATGTTCCCATTGCCTTCAGGGCCGCCAGACATGAACACGATGGAATATGATAGATATTAGACGGTTGCCACATCTTATGTCTACGTCGCGTTTTGAGGTAAAATACCAGAGGCGTAGGTATCGATCGCCTGATTCGCACGAGAAGTTACAGAATTTCATGACTTACGCGGAGTCGAGACCGGTTATTGAATTTTTAAGAATCGCTTTTAATAAATTAGTTTAAAGATGTCGTCGATCGATGTTATTAATCGACAAAAATTGTACGGGTTCATCAAACGCTACGGTGAAATTAAACTTAAAGGAATTTAAAATTTATTTCATCCAAAATAACAGTGACTAACTATTTACACACTACTGTTCACTATAGAAGACACTGCTGATACGTATCGGCTCTGCGATGCGGTTTCTGTTTTCAACTGACTGTACGGAGCGCTTTACTCCGCATTTATACAAGCAGGGCTGGGCTCAGCACGTTCAGCTCCTTCGTTTCAATATTAACGCGGTGCCGCAATTTTTACGTCACGCAGTACATAAACGGCATTAAATACCAAATTTTTTGAGATTTGCGTAAAAAATTATTGAGGAAATAATTCAAATTCATAAAATTTTTCACATAAAAAAGCTCCAAGATGTGATTTTTTTTTCAGAAATAATATGCAAAAAAAAGCATCGAAATCACAGTAAAAATGCAAAGGACGGCGGTTATGCCTTAAGTGAGTAGATTACGTGCTTCGAAAGTTTTCTTATATGCGGAAATTTAGCCCCGCCTCGACACCAAGTCGGTCTAGACGTAGGTATTTATTTATAAATGATAATTATTCGTATCGGCGTTACGTCACATTTTAAAAATATTCTATCGGTCGTAAAAGTGTCGCGCGGTACCCCACGGAACTGGAAATTTTCGGGTCGGACTCTCCGCCGCGGTATTTCGGGCGTGACGTAAACATGTCGCCTTGGCAAACGTCGCTGATCGCGCCCGACGTTCGGCCATTTTTCAAAAGACTCTCGCGCGCGGGCGGAAATCGAAATTTGAATGTGGAAATGTGGAGAAAATCACGTCAATTTCCCACACGCGATGATTATTAATCGAATGAATTTTCAGTCTTGTGTAATTTTATTTTATTTTCGAACTTTAACACATTAATTAAGAATACAAATTTATAAGTGAAGCAATAAATATTAACAAGCTTTTATTTGAAATTGATTGATTTGTTTTTTTTTTAATTATTTATTGATGCTAAACCAATTATTTTTAATTAATTAATTTCGGTAATTAAGTTAACTTTAACATTAATGAAGATGAAAAACCTATAATAATTAAATACTAAGAAACTTATTTTACTTATTTTCAGCCAGTTGATTCACTTTTTTTATTAATTAATTATTGATGTTAAAACAATAATTTATTAATTAAGTTATAAATTTAATTCAAATATCGTTAAGTAGCTGAACATTTTAGATATCCGTTTTACTTGCATTATACTTACAATTACATAATTAATTAAATTCAGTAATATTAACAACCTGTAAGTTAATGTTAAATAAAGAAACATGGTACTAACCTACTGCGTTGTTTTAAGTAGGTTCGCACAATTTTTTTATTAATTTATTTATATTAAGTCAATAAATTATGAATTAAAAATTTAATTTTCCCAATCCCCAATTACCTAAAATAGATTTGTTTAAGTAATTACATAATTGTCTTTATTTTACGTAGACTGTTTAATTTTTTTTTAAATTAATTTAATCATAATGTTAACATTAATTAAGATTGAAAGTCCATGGATTAATTTTATTTCAGGTGCATTAATTTAAATATTTGTTGATTACTTGATTTTATTAATAAATTAGTTGTAGTCAGTTTTTGTATATTATTGGTTGGTTTATTTATTTTATTGAATAGAATTTCTTTGCTGTCTGAAAATTCAGACGTAACAGCGACGTAGTCGATCGTAGATAATATTAAAAAAAAGTGATTGATTTCTTCGGGCAAAGACAAGCAACGGGCGATCCATCATCGATAGCTGCCCACTCAAAAACATACGTTATTTAGAATATTAAACCACCCTCGCTTTAGGGTTTTGTGTGTTCTTTTGCCGTAATTACTCGGGGTGTGTGGGAGGTGCTATTTAACGATAGGTCATAGTAAATGTGACCACTATTTTTAAACGAAGGTGTCTAATTTGAATTATGGATAAGTGATGCAATATTAATTACTCAATTAATTTAATTAATGAACTTGGAATATACAAAATTTATTGTCGGCATAATCTATACAGCCACTTGTGACTTTTGACGTATTTCTGACGAATAAATAATGAATAAGAGGTCCATAACATTTGCCACGCAACAAAAACAACAATCGGTATAGCATAACACAAACAATAAAAATTTGAATTACACTCTTGTTGCCGGGCCGTGGAGGGGGTGGGGGATTTACTTTACATCGCGTGACCCGCGTAGGGGGCTATATGTACGTAAAAAAGGTTCGGTTAACCACCGCCCTCCGACAAAAAACAATTACTTATTCAGTAGGACAGAAATACATTTGCCGCATTTCGACGTCTTTCGGGCTTTCGTGGGACATTTCTTGCATTTATATACCGGACGTTCGAAAATGGAGCAGAGCTTTCGCGTCCACTTATTTTACTGAAACCTAACCTATAATATCATAACACTGGGTATACGCGTAATACCCTTTGCTTTGGAAAATTACTTGCGAATTTCAAAGAATATGTACGGGACGTCTTCTTTTCCTCACCTTTGCGGGGTATATAACGCTTATCTAAAAATCTGAATTCTACGCGAAAAATTCTTTCAAGAACAGCTATGAGCTTTTTCGATGAGTTATCCAATAAGGAGAGGTCGAAGTAAAAATGTAGCAAAACGACAACCTGTACAGAACGTAAGGCATATGCCATATGTTCAAATAGTAAAAGCAAAAATTAACTAATTGTTTACTTACTTACTTACTTGGGATACTTTTATTTCCATCTTTATTGTAATTTTGATCCCATGCCCCGATTTTCGGTCAGAATTCGGTATTATGTAAGAAATTATGCAATCTGTATCTCGAAGACGAAGCATTTTAAACCTGACTGCTGCTCTGAAGCATGGAAACCAAGTTCTAAGGTTTTTCAACCAGGAGGTCCTTTTCTGTCCAAGATCAACTGAGTATCTCTTTTGGTTCTTCATTATATGTCCCAGATATTCTAAGAATTCGTCCGTAGAACCACATCTCAAATGCTTCAAGTTTTTTTGTGGTCCGTCAATGTCCAGTACTCGGCACCGTACAAGAGCACAGACCAGACATAACACTTAAGTAGTCTTAGTAGGGTTTGCAAATTAAAATATCCATTCTTAAACATGTTTCCCATTCTAACGAAGGTGGCTCTTGCTTTCTCTATACGGCATTTTATTTCTACAGAGTGCTCCCAATGCTCATTAATCGTAGTGCCCAAATATGGCAGCACTACGACGTTTACATTCTCCAGTGCCATGTTAAATATATGCTGCGAGTAGAGATTAAATAAGGTCGGAGACAAAACACAGTTTTGTCTGTGGTAGTCACAATCCACTTTGATACTAGCTGTTTGATGCCAGTGCAGATTTATTATAAGACGTAAATCTTTCTCGTCAATGCCTATTGTTCTTAGAGCCTCTATCATTTTATTGTGTCGGACGTTATCGAATGCCCTCTGAGAGTGTACCAAGCAACGTTACAGTCAACATCCCTACAGGGCTGGAAAAGAACCTGAATAGCGAATAACGCCTCTCTAGTTCCCATAGCATTTCTGAATCCAAATTGTGTGTTAGAACGTCGCTCGTGAAACTAATTCGTCTATAATCCTCGCATTGTTTTGCACTGTCTTTCTTAGTAATAGGGATAAATATCTCCGGCATCGTAAATATGGTTAAATAGTTTTGTCTGTCCAGAAGTTACAGGAATTCTGCATGGACGTCATCTGGCCCTGAAGCTTTTCCACCCTTCATTTTTTGGACGGTTTAACACACTTCATCAGCGGTAATAGATAGTAATAAACATAAATAAAATATTTATTTAATCGTTCGATCTAGACATTGTTTGTGCTGTTACATTCAAAGCTTTTTAATAACTGAATGACCCAAGCCAAACTTTATCCTTTCGCGGGCCTCTAAAAGTAATATAAGATGATAAAAGGGTGCCGACGGCATATATTTCTAACCAAAACTCCTGTCTTTATCTATGATGATATTGTTTTGTTCGTCTAACTGACGGCCCGCCGTAAGTGTTTTTTATAGACCACTTACTTCTTTGACCCTACGATGCGTGTTGAAGCGATCTTCTATTTCTTAGCATTTTTCTAAAGCCCACCATCATGCCGCACCCTTTTATCATCTTGGCGACGTGTCGTCGCGTCATTCGCACAAAACGATACCGTCGGCGTCTTTTATCGGCGACTCAACCCCGCGTTCCCGTATTATTAACACTGTTAGTTTTATATTACTTTAAGAGGTCCACGAAAGGATAAAGTTAGGCTTGGGTCTTTCAGTTATCAAAAAGCTTCGAATGTAACGGCACAATTCTTTTCGAAGTGCATGTTATGTCAAGATCGAACGATTCAATGTATTAAAAACGGCTAGTATTTATTTCATACAGACTAAAATCGCGTCGTGAAATATCGGACTTAAATAACACCCTGTATGATTTTTGTGAAATACATTTGTGTAATATTCAAGCTTTCGGAAGAAATGATGGAGAACAAAAATTTAAACTATTCGGAAATATCCCACGCGTAGGTTTGGCAAGTTCGAAGGAGCTAAAGAAAAATCGTAAGCGAGCCTATAA